CCCCCCCCCACTCCCTACCACCAGGACCGGGACCAGCACAGGGACGACATGAGCCCCACCGGCCAAAGTTGCGGCAGGTTACGGCTGAACTGAACCGGCCGCCGCGCCGCGGATCGACGACAAACATAAGGGTTGCGTAAGGCGAGCGCGACTATTGTGACAAGCCCGGGGTGGATGGAGAACAAAGCGCGCGAGAAAGAAAGACTTTCCGCGTACAACTGGGGATGATGCTGTGTTACTCGCGGAACTGACGGCCCCACCCGGAGCGCCCCGAAGAGGGTTGTAGCCGGAATTAACACCACCGAACCAAGCGGGCGCCAGCGGCAGACTACGGAGGGGGTGTGCGAGCGAGAGAGGGAGAGAGATAGAGAGATATAGCGAGAGAGCGAGAGAGAGAGAGAGAGAGAGAGCGGCCGTGGGACCCGCGGGAGAGAGGGAGAGCGAAGCCGGCTATGGCGTAGTAGCTCCCCCGGTCCCTGTCCACAATGCGCCCTCACTCCACAATAGCCCCCCACCCCCACCCCGCTTTCCGGATTCACTTACCTCTTTCACCATGCCGACGGCGAGGCACTTCTGGAAGCGACAGAACTGGCACCGGTTCCGCCTCCGCTTGTCGACGGGGCACGCCTTGTCCGCCAGGCACACGTACTTGGAGCCCTTCTGCACGGTGCGCTTGAAGAAGCCCTTGCAGCCCTCGCACGTCCGCACGCCGTAGTGCTGGCAGGCGGCCGTGTCCCCGCACACGGCGCACAGCGTCGACGGCGAGTGCGGCGTGCCGTGCGCCCCCGCCGCCCCCGGCGGGCAGCCGGCGGGCCCCGCCCCCGGACCAGCGGGGGCGGGCGCACGCGACTGCACGACGCCGTGGTGGGGGAGCCCCTCGCAGCCCGGGGAGGAAGACGCCGAGGAGGTGGCCGAGGGCGCGGGGGCGGACCCGCTCGACACCAGGCCCAGGCGCAGCTTGGGCGACTCACAGGAGCTGTGGACAACCGTTTCAGAATTTGATAAGTTATCGAAGACCAAGGAGGTTGGTCACCAAGAACCAAAATAACGAACAAGAGTAAAGACGAAACCTATCAAATACATTGTATCTTACCCGGTGGACTCTGATCGCTGGAGCGGGAGCGACGCCCGCCTCTGCCGCGGGGTCATGGCGGTGGTGGCGACGCTGGGGAAGGGCGGCAGCGAGTAGGACGGGGTGTCCATGTGCGGACTGGGCTGCTCGTACGGCTGGGGGTGCGCCTGGGGCAGCGCCTGGGGGTGGGCCTGGGGCAGGGCCTGGGGCAGCGCCTGGGGCAGCGCCTGGGGCAGCGCCTGGGGGTGAACCTGCTGGGGATGGGGGGCGGCCTGCGGGGCCGAGTGGGGCCCCGAATGCGCTCCAGGGTGGGCTCCCGGGTGGGGACCCGGGTGGGGCGCGTTGTGCTGGTGGGCCTGGGTGGTGGGCGTGTAGTACAGGCCGTAGTGCTGCTGATGGTGCTGCCAGGACTCGTAGTGGTTGTGCTGCTGCTGTTGCTGCTGCTGCTGCGCGTGAGGGTGCGCATGCGGGTGGTGGTAGGAGGGCACGTTGTAGCAGTCCTCGGCCTCCATCTTGAAGTCCAGCTGGCTCAGGTCGGAGGGCGATGGCGAGCAGGTCGCCGACGAGCTCCCCCGGCCCGAGTACAGCCGGCTCGAGTAGGCGTCCGCCACGGCGGGCACCCCTGCGAACGTCTGCCGACACACAGAGAGCGCCGAGGTCAGCGACGGGCGACGAGGCAGCGGGGTCGCGCGCACCGACCCGCGGACACTGGACACTGCGCTCACCTGGAAGCTGGGCAGCGGCGCGCACGAGTCGTCAGCGTGGTGGTGGTGCTGGTGGTGGTGTTCCAAGGCGTGCTCGTGGCCCTGCGTCTGGCCGGCCGCCGTCGCGGCGAACACGTCCGGAAAGGGGTCCAGCTCCTCGGGCAGACCGCTGGAGGGGTCCTCGGCGTACGGCGCCGACAGGAGGTCTGCGAAACTGCTCGAGCCGAACGACGACTGTAACAGAGCAGCAGACGGCGGTACGGGTGAGTCTAGGAAGGGCGGGGCGAGGTAGGGCGCGACGGGCCCCACGCCATCGCGCTGGGCAAAACCGACGTCGCCGCCCGACGACGACGACGCCCCGGGGCGCGGCGGGGCGTGGCGTGACGCGGCGACACTGTCGGCGTCGTGCTCGCCCGCGGGGGACGCCGCCTTTACGAGCGTGTCGTCGCTCTGCCACCGGAACATGAAACGCGGCCGCGGCCTTTGAGGCGGCGCGACGCGGACGGAGTGCGGGCACGCCGCGGACGGACGGACGGACGGAAAGACAGACGGTCGGATGCTCCATTGAGGGCCGCACAGCTTACTCACACCGCACAGCACAGTGGGGTCACTTTAGGGTTAAAATTAAAACTATGGCCGGTGGCCCCTTGAGCGGTCAGCTCCTCCGTGGGTCGCTATTCGGTCAACGGGAGGGCGCCATGTCGACGCCACGCACCGACCTACGGCCGCAGGTGCACCTCGGGTGCTCGGAGCGCCGCGGGCGCGCCACTGCAGGCCAAGAGGACCCTCGTCGTCGTGGCCGCCATGGCGAAGGGACAGGCGAGCGGCTGTGGGGCGCGGAGCCCCCCGCGCGCGCGCGCGAACACGACGGACACGGGAGCCGCGCGAGGGCGGTGCGGCGGACGACGGGGGCCAGCGGCGCGAGACTGGCGCGCGCGGGCGGGCAGCGCCGCTACCCCTCAGCGGGCGCGGGAGCCGAGCCAGGCAGGGGCGGCGCGCTACCCCCGCGCGCACCAGCCGCGGCGGCCAGCGGAGACCAGCGAGGCAGCAGGGCGCACCGCGCTCAAAGGCGTTCATGGGAGAGAAAAATGTTTTTAAAAAGGCGCTCAAGGAAGAGAGAGGGAAAATGCTTTTAAAAAGGCGTGGGATGGGATGGGCCGTCGGGCTGCACCGTGATTTAGGCAGCTTCCTGCATCCGAGGAACAGAGCAGAAAGCAATGGGTAGGGGGTACAAGTAAGAGGGAAAAGGGGAGCGATCGAGAGAGAGAGGGAAAAAGGGGGAGAGGGG